CCCACTGTATATATATATATATTTATTTTTTTTGCTCCTGAACTTCTTCTACTCTCAACCTCCCTGATCATTTTCATGATGTCCATCCGGTTTGCTTCTATATGCCATATCTTTCTAACTGTGCTCTTTTCCAAAAGCTCCCAACATACAACCTATATACTTATTATGGACACAGTATGCTTACATTATTAGCTATCTTTGTTATTATTTGTTGTTATTTGTTATTAGTCCCATCCTTCAACTCTATTCAATACCTCCCATCTATCTCTTAACACCATCCATATAGGATTTCTATTTGCCATATATATTTCAACCGTACTGTGATGTTTTACAAAAGTTCTAAACCTTTCTATTCTCATTGCTTCTACAGATTGTGAATTCAAAATAAACATTTTTGCTAAAAGTATTATTATATTATTGATCGATTGACTATGACTTTTCAGATCACCCAGTAATGCTATCTGCAAGATTAGCTCCAGGTAAATATTGCAATCCTTTAGCCATTCCTGGACCTGTGTCCAAAAACAAGCTACAAATGGACAGAACCAAAACAAATGATCTAATGATTCTGTCTCTTCACAGCAAAATCTGCAGAGCTGGGAAGATTGTATCCCCCATATAAATAACATTCTATTGGTAGCAAGAATTTTATATAATAATTTAAATTGAAAGATTCTAATTTTTGAATCCGGTGTCGTTTTGCGTGTCAGTTCATAAACACTATGCCATGGGATCGGTACGTCAAAAATCTCTTCCCAACTATTTTGCAATCTATATGGGACGGCTGTCAATCCTTTGGTCCTTAAGTGAAACTGATATACTTTTTTATTTATCACAGTTTTCCTTAACCAATTATGTTCTTTAATGCAAGGCCAACAGACAAGTTCCTTACTTTCTCCCCCTTCCACTTTCCCCTTCCACTTTTGCGGTAAGGCTGCAATTATTTGGTTGTAATTTTGGGTAGAGCAAACATTTCCATATGTTTTTGTTAGCTGCATGCGCGACATAACTCCACCAGTCCTACGATGATATCATTTACGAAGATTATACCTTTTTTAAACATTCTGTCAAAAAATAAAGGTTTTTTGTCAATTAGTATATTTGAATTTAACCACAATATTTGTTGCATTATTTGTTCTGTAGTTTCTGGAGGATTAATTTGAAATTGCAACCAACTTTCTATGGCTTGTTTTAGAAATAGTGATATTTGGGAGATTATTTCCTTTTCAAATAACTGCAAATGAGTTGTTGTAATCTGAATAAAGGGAAAAAGGCCTTTCTTGAACATTGGGTGAGACAATCTTACTAATTTGAAAACGGAGGATAGCTCAATAACATTCTAGTGATTCCACTAAAGGCCTCATGAATACAAGAATACAAATATACAGAATAAAAAAACATGCGTCTTGTATGCAACAAGGTACTAAAGTAATACTGCAAAAAAACACAGCAAAGGAATACACTGGCCTAAATGCCAAGCCCTATGTTTGGGGTAAATCCAACACATCACTGAGTAACTGCCTCCTTATTTTCAAGCATGGTGGTGGCTGCATCATGGTATGGGGATGCTTGATATCGACAAATATTGGGGAGTTTTTCAGGATAAAACTAAACGGGATGGAGCTAAGCACAGGCAAAATCTTAGAGGAAAACCTCCCTCAGTCTGCTTTACACCTGTCACGTTCGTTCAAGGACGGGTCAGACCAAGGCGCAGCGTGAAATGTGTACATGTTTATTATACTGATAAACAACGACAAAACAACAAACGAAACGTGAAGTCCTAAGGCTAACACAATACAAGCCTCCAACACGGAACAAGATCCCACAACTATCTAGTGCCAATAGGCTGCCTAAGTATGATCCCCAATCAGAGACAACGAGCGACAGCTGCCTCTGATTGGGAACCACACCGGCCAACATAGAAATACACATACTAGATAACACACCTAGAATATACACAACATAGAATATACACACCCTGACTCAACATATAAGAGTCCCCTGAGTCAGGGCGTGACAGTACCCCCCCAAAGGTGCGGACTCCGACCGCACAACCTTCACATAACAGGGTAGGGGCCGGGTGGTCATTCCGCCTCGGAGGCGGATCCGGCTCCGGGCGTGACGACCTCTTACTCTCCGCCTCCCTGTTGCGTGCGCCCCTGGTCTGGTCTGGACCTCGGCGCGCTGCTTCGCCTCTCCTTCCTCCCACGATACTCCAGGCCCTGTCTGGACCCTGGTGTGGGAGACCCCGAACCTGGAGAGGGGCTGACGTCTGGGGCTGGACTGGAGCCACTGACTGGAGCTGGACCAGACAACGGTGGAGCGGGCTGCTCAGGCTCCGGACTGGAGCCGCTGACCGGAGCTGGACTGGGCACTGGTGGAGCGAACTGCTCTGGCTCCGGAGTGGAGCCGCTGACCGGAGCTGGACTGGGCACCGGTGGAGCGGACTGCTCTGGCTCCGGAGTGGAGCCGCTGACCGGAGTAGGACTGGACCCCGGTGGAGCGGACTGCTCTGGCTCCAGAGTGGAGCAGCTAACCGGAGCTGGACCAGGCACCGGTGGAACGGGCACGGGCCATGCCGGACTGGACACATGCACCACTGGTCTGGTGTGAGGAGCAGGCACGGGCCGGACCGGACTAGGAACACGCACCACTGGCTTGGTGCGAGGAGCAGGAACGGGCCGGGCCAGACTGGCAACGCGCACCACTGGCTTGGTGCGAGGAGCAGGAACAGGCCGGGCCGGACTGAGAACCCGCACCACTGGCTTGGTGCGAGGAGCAGGAACGGGCCGGGCCGGACTGGGAACACGCACCACTGGCTTGGTGCGAGGAGCAGGAACGGACCGGACTGGCGACACGCACCACTGGCTTGGTGCGTGGAGCAGGACTGGGTTCCTTTATTAACCCCCGCTCCTGATGCTGCCTAACCAGCTCCTCTCGCCGTGCCTCTACTTCCTCCTTCTCCCTACGCGCCTCCTGCAGTGCCTCCTCCTGAATGGATCTCACCCGCTCTATTCTATCTAACAGCCCCCGTAATATGGTGGCCTCCTCTCTTACCCGGCACTCCTCCTCCCGTGAGGACTCCTCCGGAAGCCCCCACGAGTTAGGGAACAGAAACTCGTCGTCGTCATCATCCTCCGACTCCTCAGTATAATACTGTTCCCACTCCTCTTCCCATGGTCGTAGGGACCCAATCTGGAAACCAACCAGGTGCAGTGGTCGGGGCTCTTCTCTCTCGCTCCCCGACCACCCCTTTAGCTCCCCCCCAAAAAATGTATTGGGGCTGCTTCTCTGGCTTCCTCCTCGGCCGGCTTCCGTGTTGCCGTTGCTCCTCTCCTGCCTGGGCTTCCTTCTTCGCCCAGGGTCCTTTTCCCGCAAATATCTCCTCCCAAGACCAAATCTTCCCCACCTGTGTCCAGGGTGTTCGGTCCTCCTGGGCACGCTGCTTGGTCCGTGTTTGGTGGGATCTTCTGTCACGTTCGTTCAAGGACGGGTCAGACCAAGGCGCAGCGTGAAATGCATACATGTTTATTACACTGATAAACAACGACAAAACACAATACAAGCCTCCAACACGGAACAAGATCCCACAACTACCTAGTGCCAATAGGCTGCCTAAGTATGATCCCCAATCAGAGACAACGAGCGACAGCTGCCTTTGATTGGGAACACACCGGCCAACATAGAAATACACATACTAGATAACACACCTAGAATATACACAACATAGAATATACACACCCTGACTCAACATATAAGAGTCCCCTGAGTCAGGGCGTGACAACACCAGACACTGGGAGAGGAATTCACCTTTCAGCAGGACAATAACCTACAACACAAGGCCAAATCTTCTTGCTTACCAAGAAGACTGTGAATGTTCCTGAGTGGCCAAGTTACAGTTTTTACTTAAATCTGCTTGAAGATCTATGGCAAGACTTGGAAATTGCTGTCTAGTCGTGATCTCCAACATCTTGACAGAGCTTGAAGAATTATGAAAAGAATAATGGGATAATATTGCACAATCCATCTGAATACTTATGCAAAGACTATATTTTAATTATTTAATTTCTATTAATATTTTTTTTAAAGTACAAATGTTATTCCACTTTGACATTATTTTGTGTAAATTGTTGATTACTAATTACAACTACATCTATTTGAATCCCACATTGTATACACAATAAAATGTGAAGAAATCTAAGGGGTATGACTACTTTTGCAAGGCACTGTAGGTAGGTAGGACTGGTGTCTGAACGGATAGTTCAGAGCTTCTTCTCTTTTCTATAACCTGTATGGAACACAATATGGTCTACTACAGTATTTACTACAGTGTTCTTTTACAGATAATACTGTAGTATTTACTATAGTAACAGTATACTACAACATATGCTATAGTATTCTACAGTATACTACAACATTCTATATGTACTACACATGCTCGAGGGATACTACAGTGTGTAGTATACTATTCTACAGTTTACTACAGAATGCTATAGTAAGTACTGTAGTATTCTATAGTAAACTGAAGTATTTTTTAAATGTGGGATGACAGTGATGCCACATTGTTTACATTAAAAGCATTTAGTTATGGTCTGGACCGGTTTACTTTACAACTTTTAATGTTGTAGGCCTAGTTCTTAATCAATAGTGAAGTTGGCTAGTTGTATGGCATAGCCATACATCATTACAAATCGTTTTGTCATTATGTTGTCGATGGAAAGGTTGAGCTCTAAATAATCATGGTTGTTTTCTTGGCATTTTCTAGAGGATGCTGTAGTATATAGTATATACTGAAAAGAATGTGACACTTGTAAGCGTAAAGCATTTCTTGGAGATATAAAGTAGAGTAATAATCTTTACTAAAAAATATTTAATGCACACAGACAATTTAAAACACATTTCTAGACATTACAATCAATAATATGTATAATTACCATTGTAAAAAAGAAACATCAAAATACAAACATTAGATAAGAAATTATAAAGAAGCGTGTTGTTTCGCAGCATTTCAAAAGTTAAAGGTTTTATAGGCACCCAAAGCTAGATAATTATGTTGAAATACTGAACAGGCAGCCATCTCCAGTAAACAAGGTTGGCATCCCTTTTAAGGAAAATAAATGAAAGCCTAATTCTCAACTACAGTAATACAAAAATGTATGCATTGCATTTCAATCTAATTCCTGACATTTTTAATTTAAACAACATCAAATGGCTAATTTCCTTGTTATATCTCATCTAATGTGTACCACCTCCTGGCAAATGAACCCATAGGTAAATAAGGAGTTGTAAGACCATCAAGAGCCACTGCAGGTCAGTCTTTCCCATTGAAAGCTTAATTCCTAGACTGAATTATGAATGAAGCTCTTCGCTAAAGTGGTTTGTTTGTAGTCCCTCACTTAGGTAATCAAGATAAACACTCAAAACCACCTCAGTGGAACTCTTATCAGGTGACCAATAATTTGTGGAGAAGCCTGCCCTAGTCCACGCCTGTGTAGCAAGTACTGAAGTAGATGCACAGTTTTTAAGATGTTCATTGTTGTCAGCTGTACATTTCCTTGGTCAAGACATCAATGTGGCTTCTGAAATGATATGACAAAAATGAAACAAGATTCATCATTGTTTGATACACAATTTGATCAGTTAAAGAAGGATTTGTCACATATTCAGAACATTTTCAAGGTACTACAGACTCACCTTTTCTCTGTGACTCTTCTGGTGGATCGGCAATTCCTCTGGATCTGAAAACATCTTTTGGCAAAAGGGGCAGACAGACTGGGATGGTTCTCCAAAACCCTTGTCCTAGGTCAGGAGAGTCACTGAGCTTTACTTGGGCCTCTTGATGACTTTGGGGAGATTTGTTTAGGTCTGCATGCCAATCATCATCACCAGCTGACTTCCTATTGCTCTGATGGAGTGGCTCTGCTCCTCTGACACGCTTCATTCCAGCAACCAAAGATTTGGGATTAGAGGACTTTTGAGACAGCTGATCTGAACACACCACCTTATGGCAAGTCTCTTCCCCCTGTGAGCTTAATGCAGGCCTGGCTCGGGGTGGACTGCTCAAGCTCACCTGAAGCCGCTGAGGCTTATGGGATGCCTTGTTTGAGGAGGTCACACACTGGATGGAGCCGGAGTCAGGACCAGGGAAGGGGAAAGCAGTATACTTGTCCTGCTTGTGAGCCGATGCTGAACCATCTCCCTGTATTGTCTGATTCCCCCTCACAGAGCTGGGCTGAGAGGTGGTGGATCCAGGTCCCCCTGTCACCCCACACCCTGACCTGGCCAACCCCGAGCTCCAGCTCTCCAGAGGTGGCACAGACAACTGCTGGATGCAGTGGTGCAGAGAGGGATAATCTACATACTTAAACTTGGGAACTCTCTCCTTGGAAGTGACAGGGGTGCGTCCTCCAGAGGGTCTTCCCAGGGCCGGGGGAAAGTCCTCCAGCCAGCTGTCCAGGGGTGGCACAGTGAATTGCTGGATGCACTGGTGCAGCGAAGGGAAGTCCACATACTGGAATCTGGGCACTTTGAGGGGCACTTCAGAGAGGTCCTCTTTTTTAACCCTGATGGGAATGGTAGGCTTCGCCTCCTCTCTCACCCTACGGGTCTTTGTGTCCGGCTCAGTTTTGACCACTAAGGGCACGAGCTTTGCTTTTGGATCACCTGCTCCCCCTGCAGGGAGAAGTCTCCTGTCCTCCATGGCTGGCCTCTGAAAACACATCAAACACAATTAAATATAACATTTTGGTTAACCTACATTGGTAAAACCAGGCTTCAAATATCGGAAAGCATTTCTAAATATATCCAGTAATGTTACTATGGGGAGGCATATTGGAGGTTGTTCTAAAGCCTTTGCTCTACTTTGCATAAATGTACGTCCTGCTTTTTTCCCCAAGATGTGTCAATCAAATACATGTAAATTCACAGCTGTTTGTCTTTTGAATTATCCCCACTTAGAATCGCTTGTCCTGTCCAGTTCCTCTCTGCTAAGCAACAGCATGTTATTAAGTACGCTGTCCTGACCTGACCACAATAATTAGTTTAGGGGTTTCTGCTTCTGAGAAATAGCCCTAAGCAGCTGTATAGTACAGATATACACTGAGTGCACAAAACATTGACACCTGCTCTTTCCATGACATAGACTGACCAGGTGAATCCAGGTGAAAGCTATGATCCCTTATTGAACAGACGTCATCAGAGCACGCAACAGAACAGTGTACTGCCTACACTTGGTTTGTTGTTTTTATGAAATCGTTTTCATTAAATCGTTTTAAAATCATAGCTAAAGTTTGTATTGCTACTGATTCTGCAACATGGTTGGGACCGCACGTTTGTGTCCCGGATTCCTGTTAAGTAACAGTTAGCTGCTAGCCATCATGAAAATGGAGCAAGCTAATGCTAGCAGTGCTAGCCCACTGGTATAAGATATAATATACAGATATTTCAGGTGTGAGATTACATTTCCACACAATCACAAGATGAAGATAAGGTGGAACTGGAAACTGGACAGAAATTTGTCTGCCCTAAATGCACCACCATCAAGCATCTTAGGGAAGAGATCCTCTGGCTGTTAGCTCAGCTGCGAGAAAAGGAAAACCTGCTTTCTAAGTACACCGACCTTGCTGTAACTCAGGCAAACCAAATCTCAGTTTTAAATGCCTCCTATAGCAAAGCTGTTGATGAGTCGGGCGGCGTTGATCTGTTCTAATCCAATGGACAGATGTTAGGCTCAACTCCGCGGCCCATGGGAGACTGGACACTTGTAAGGCGTAGGAGATCGGGGAGGCAGTCTGGCCACCCGTTAATCCGAGAAGGTCTGATCCAGCTATCAAACAGCTTTGCCCCACTTGAGACGGACCTACCAGCCCCGGGAGTCAGCACAGATCCTGGGTGTATACTAACAGCCGGCGGCCGTCCAGTGGCACCCTCCCCCACGGCCACCACAGTTCAGCAGGTCGTTTCCCCATCGGATTCCATCACTACCACTATCATTGTGGGCAGCTCGATGGTGAGAGATGTTGGCCTGCCTACGGTCTGTGGACTGACCAAGGTCCGCTGTCACCCAGGAGCCCGTGTCCATGACATCAACTTTCTCCTGCCCACGGTTCTGGCCAAGTACTCCAATATTGACACCATCGTCACTCACGTAGGTTTTAACAACCTTCGTTTTAGGCAGGAGGACTACAATTATTTTTTAAAGACCCTCGTTAGCACAGGGAAGAGAATAGTTATCTCTGGCCCCCTCCTGTCCTCCCGGAACGTTTTAGCCAACTCTTTGCCCTAAACGAGTACCTGAAGAAACTTTGCAACGACAGGAATGTCTCTTTTTGTGACAACTTTGATTTGCTGTGGGAGCAATTTTTAAAAGAGACGAGATTCACCCTAACCGCAGGGGTTCCAGTATTATTTCCAACAACATCACAAACTGTTTTAGAGACTGACAGACAGGGTCTGGTAGTGCTCCAGTTCTCCCCATCAGAATAAGCAACAGAGGACTTGGAAACCATATCAACTCCTATAGAAATTGCACTATGGTTATTGTGAGTAACCTAATTTATGTTCCTTTAACTCCGCCTTCTAGTGAGTTTATACAAACTGTCATCTCCTACCATTCTGATAGATTGGAGACTGTCAGAAAACGTGGTTGTAATGTTAATAGTTTGGTTGTTATTACATTGGTTACCTCTAGGCAGTAGAGCAATCACTAGTAAAACCTTCCTCGTGAATTAGTAAAACCTTCCTCGTGAATGACCTCATTACTGAGCGCAAAGTTGATTGCATGTCACTGAAACATGGCTGTCTTCAGACTGTAGTGCCGCTCTTAGTGAAGCCCCCCCCCCCCCCCCCCCCCTCTATCAGAAAAGGGGAAAAGGGTGGGGGGACAGCTTCTATTTTTACTAATGCTCTCAGCTGTAAGGCCATTTCATTTGGCGACTTTGGGTCTTTTGAGCATCATGCTATACTGTTTAAATGTCAGCCACCATTGCTGGCCATAACCCTGTATAGGCTACCAAAGCACTGCCCCACTCTTTACTGATTTTTCTTTACTATTGTCTATTGTCCTTGAGAACTATGATAAAATCTTTGTGTTGGGTGATTTTAATATTGATGTTGAGAAAGAGACCATTGGCCATTGAATTTCTTAATATTTTGAGCTCTACTGGGCCCACCCATAACCGCAGCCATACTCTGGACCTGATTATTCCCAAGGGGCTTTCTATTGACATTCTCTATTGTTGATGATGCTTTATCTGATCACCACTGTGTATTCTTTACTACCTTGTTGACCATATCACAGGGTAATTGTCACGCCCTGACTCTAGGACTCGTATTTGTTGAGTCAGGGTGTGTATTTTCGGTGTCGTGTTGTGCTATGTTTATTGTCTATGGTTAGATCTAGTATGTATATATCTATGTTGGCCTGAGTGGTTCCCAATCAGAGGCAGCTGTTGCTCGTTGTCTCTGATTGGGGACAATACTTAGGCAGCCGTTTGGCACCTGGTAGTTGTGGGAACTTGTTACGTGTGAGGTATGTTATTTGTCTACCTTGGACGTCACGTTTCGTTTGTTGTTTTGGTTGTGCGTTTATTCGTGAAATAAATATGAATGCATATCACGCTGCGCCTTGGTCCTTCTCGTTCATGAGCGATCGTGACAGAAGATCCCACCAAAATAGGACCAAGCAGTGTGTTCAGGAGCAAACGCCGGGAATTAAACAGGAGGTTACGTTAGCAGATGTCCTCCTCGGTTGGGGGAGAATCACGGAGGAGGAGGCCGTCCGTTACCGGAGGGCGATGAATGAGGATGCCCAGGTAGGAGAGGAGAAACGGCGCCAACAGTGCCGACGACGGAGACCCGAGAGGCAACCCCAAGAAAAAATGTTGGGGGGGCACACGGTGTGGACGACAAGGCAGCAGGAGGCAGCGACAGGGCGAATCTGCAGGTTAGGAGGCCACCAGGTTACGGGGGCTATTGGTCCAGAGGGAGCAGGAGTTATTTGGTCAGAGGGAGGAGCTACAGGAGGCTATAAGGGAGAAGGAGAGTGTAGAGGCACGGCGAGAGGAGCTGGTTAGGCAGCAGAAGGAGCGGGGGTTTATAAGGGAACCCAGTCCCGCTCCTCGCACCAAGCAAGTGGTGTGTGTCGCCAGTCCGGTCCGGCCCGTTCCTGATCCCCGCACTAAGCCAGTGGTGCGTGTTCCCAGTACGGCCCGACCCGTTCCTGCTCCTCGCACTAAGCCAGTGGTGTGTGTTCCCAGTACGGTCCGGCCCATTCCTGCTCCTCGCATCAAGCCAGTGGGGCGCGTCGCCAGCCCGGTACGGCCTGTTCCTGTCCCTCGCACCAAGCCAGTGGTGCGCGTCGCCAGCCCGGCCCGGCCTGTTCCTGTCCCTCGCACCAAACCGGTGGTGCGCGTCGCCAGCCCGGCCCGGCCTGTTCCTGCCCCTCGCACCAAACCAGTGGTGCGCGTCGCCAGCCCGATCCGGCCTGTTCCTGTCCCTCGCACCAAGCCAGTGGTGCGCGTCGCCAGCCCGGCCCGGCCTGTTCCTGCCCCTCGCACCAAGCCAGTGGTGCGCGTCGCCAGCCCGGTCCGGCCTGTTCCTGCTCCCCGCACCAAGCCAGTGGTGCGCGTCGCCAGCCCGGTCCGGCCTGTTCCTGTCCCTCGCACCAAGCCAGTGGTGCGCGTCGCCAGCCCGGTCCGGCCTGTTCCTGCTCCCCGCACCAAGCCAGTGGTGCGCGTCTTCAGCCCGGTCCGGCCCGTTCCTGCTCCCCGCACCAAGCCAGTGGTGCGTGTGTCCAGTCCGGCACGGCCCGTGCCTGTTCCACCGGTGCCTGGTCCGGCACCGGTCAGCTGCTCCACTCCGGAGCCAGAGCAATCCGCTCCACCGGGGTCCAGTCCAGCTCCGGTCAGCGGCTCCACTCCGGAGCCAGAGCAATCCGCTCCACCGGGGTCCGGTCCAGCTCCGGTCAGCTGCTCCACTCCGGAGCCAGAGCAATCCGCTCCACCGGGGTCCGGTCCAGCTCCGGTCAGCTGCTCCACTCCGGAGCCAGAGCAATCCGCTCCACGGTGCCTAATCCAGCTCCGGTCAGCGGCTCCACTCCGGAGCCAGAGCAGTTCGATCCACCGTCGTCGGGTCCAGCTCCAGTCAGCAGTTCCAGTCCAGACCCAGACGTCAGCCCCTCTCCAGGTTCGGGGTCTCCCACACCAGGGTCCAGACAGGGCTTGGTACGTCGTGGGAGGAAGGAGAGGGGAAGCAGCGCGCCGAGGTCCAGACCAGACCAGGGGCGCAACAGGGAGGTGGAGAGTAAGTGGTGGTCACGCCCGGAGCCGGATCCGCCTCCGAGGCGGAATGCCCACCCGGCCCCTACCCTGTTATGTTTATGTGGCGCGGTCGGAGTCCGCACCTTTGGGTGGGGGGGTACTGTCACGCCCTGACTCTAGGACTCGTATTTGTTGAGTCAGGGTGTGTATTTTCGGTGTCGTGTTGTGCTATGTTTATTGTCTATGGTTAGATCTAGTATGTATAGATCTATGTTGGCCTGAGTGGTTCCCAATCAGAGGCAGCTGTTGCTCGTTGTCTCTGATTGGGGACAATACTTAGGCAGCCGTTTGGCACCTGGTAGTTGTGGGATCTTGTTCCGTGTGAGGTATGTTATTTGTCTACCTTGGACGTCACGTTTCGTTTGTTGTTTTGGTTGTGCGTTTATTCGTGAAATAAATATGAATACATATCACGCTGCGCCTTGGTCCTTCTCGTTCATGAGCGATCGTGACAGTAATACTGAACGCATTATTAAGAAACGCTATCTTACCTCTGAAGTAAGATCTTACCTCTAAAGATTTCATTGAGTGTATGAACAATACTCCATCACCTATTCTGCCTTCCTCTTGTGATGATTTAGTTGATAACATTAATAGAAAATTAAGGGCAACCATTGATGCCATAGCTCCAGTAAAGTTGAAAAAGGCCTCATCCAAACGGAAAGCCCCTTGGATGAGTGAAGAAACTAATAAATTAAAGAGAAATTGCAGAAAGGCAGAGCAGAAGTGAAGAAAGTCAAAGTTGCAGGTCCATTATGATATTCTGAGAGAGCAATAACGCAATTAGAAATGCCAGACGGGCTCATTTTTCTAACTTGATCACTAATAATCAGAATAATTTGAGAATGCTCTTCTTGACCATTGATGGCCTGATAAATCCTACCCCCGCAAACCTATGTGAACTTCTAAATGTGATGAGTTTGCAGCATAGTTCAGAGATAAGATAACAAACATTAGGCTGGGTATCAGTCAAGCAAGACCTGATAAGAAGTTTGATGATATGTGCCCTAGCCTACCACGCAAAGGCACTATGGATTTATTTTCCCTGGTTGACACAGACATGCTCAGATAAGTGATATCACAACTTAAGCCTTCTACTTGCCTTCTCGATCCTATCCCCACCACCTTCTTCAAAACAGTTTTTAATTGCATATCTGAAGAAGTGCAAGCTATTGTTAATCACTTTCTGTTCACAGGCACTTTCCCCACTGCACTAAAAACTGCTATTGTGAAACCCCTTCTGAAGAAAAGTAATCTAGATTCTTCAGCTCTTAGCAATTTTCGGCCAATCTCCAACCTTCCATCTTAAGCAAAATTCTGGAGAAATTGGTTTTCAAACAGCTAAATTCTTTTTTAAGTGCCAACTGTATTTTAGAAAAATTCCAATCTGGTTTTTGGGCCCACCACAGCACAGAGACAGCCTTAGTTAAAGTGGTAAATGATCTTAGAGCCAACACAGATGCCAAACAGCTCTCTGTCCTTGTACTCTTGGATTTAAGAGCTGCATTCGACATTGTTGATCATGATGTCCTTCTGGACAGACTAGAGAGGTGGGTTGGCCTCTCCGGTCCATTTCTAAGGACCTATTTAACCAGTCAAGAGTTTGTTCACCCTTGGTGAACATAACTCAGAGAAAATACATAACACATGTGGCGTTCCACAAGGTTTGATTTTGGGTCCGGTACTGTTCAGTTTTTATATGTTACCCCTTGGCAGCGTTATCAGAAAGCACAGCATTGATTTTCACTGCTACGCAGACGATACACAACTTTACATTTCCATGTCACCAGAGGATTTTAGGTCCATGGATAAATTATTAGAATGTATTAGTGATTTTAAATACTTGGATGGCTCACAACTTCCTCCAGCCAAATCAAGACAAGACTGAGGTACTTATTGTTGGAGCCAAAGCACAGAGAGAGAATCTAGCCACACATTTTAATTTATTTTAGATTCTGAACTCAATTTTGAATCACACATTAGGAATGTGTCAATAATAGATTTTTACCACCTGAGGAACATTGCCAAGGTGCGGCTGTTTCTCTCTCAGGCTGATACAGAGAAACTCATCCATGTTTTTATTACCAGCAGGCTTGACTACTGTAATGCTCTCCTTTCTGGTCTCCCCAAGAAAGCCATTGGTCAACTGCAAAACATACAGAATGCTGCAGCACGGGTACTGACCAAGACCAGATGGAGAGCACACATTACACCGGTTTTAAGGTCTCTGCTCTGGCTGCCTGTGATTTTTAGAGTTAATTTTAAGATTAATCTATTGGTTTTTAAATCAATCCATGATTGTGCACCTCAATACATGTCAGACATGCTTTTAAGTTATGTACCCAGTAGGTCCCTCAGGTCCTCTGGAACTGGCCTTTTAACTATCCCAAAGCCTAGAACCAAGAGGCATGGAGAGGCAGCCTTTAGTTACTATGCCCCCAGCCTCTTGAATAGCCTGCCAGAGAACCTGAGGAGGGTCGAAACTGTTGACATTTTTAAAAGAGATCTTAGAACACACCTTTTTTAGCTTTGCTTTTCCTTAGTGTGCTTTTTAGTCATTCTGTTTTTTTACTGTTATTATTTTGTTTTTATCCTCTTATGTTTGTTGTGTAGTAAATATGTATGTTTTTATTATTAATATAATTTTTTTCCTGTAAAGCATATTGTGTTGCATTCCATGTCTGAAATGTGCTGTATAAATAAAGCTTAATTTGATTTGATATCACTTGTTAAATCAATTTCAATCAGTGTAGATGAAGGGGAGGAGACAGGTTAAAGAATGATTTCTAGGCCTTGAGACAATTGAGACATGGATTGTGTATGTGTGCCATTCAGAGGGTGAATGGGCAAGACAAAATATTTAAGTGCCTTTGAATGGGGTATGGTAGTAGGTGTCAGGCGCACCGGTTTGTGTCAAGAACTCCAACGCTGCTGGGTTTTTCACACTCAACAGTTTCCCGTGTGTATCAAGAATGGTCCACCACCCAAAGGACATCCAGCCAACTTGACACAACTGTGGGAAGCATTGGAGTCAAATAATAAATAATAATATGCCATTTAGCAGACGCTTTTATCCAAAGCGACTTACAGTCATGCGTGCATACATTTTTGTGTATGGGTGGTCCCGGGGATCGAACCCACTACCTTGGCGTTACAAGCGCCGTGCTCTACCAGCTGAGCTACAGAGGACCACAACATGGGCCAGCATCCCTGTGGATTGCTTTTGACACCTTGTAGATTCCATGCCCAGACGAATTGAGGGTGCACAACGCAATATTAGGAAGGTGTCCTTAATGTTTTGTACACTCAGTGTAAATTGACCAGTGTGACCAATGTAGGTTGACCAGATGCTGATAATAAGGGTAAAACTGGGTCCAGTTGAAGATGCTGTGTGCTGCTCCTCCAATCTCATGTCAGGGATAGAAATAGCGTTGCAGGTATGAAGTTAGGAGGAAAGTAGGTCAGAGCCAGACTGATCACACTGCCAGGGGCCCAAAACAAAAGATATGTCACACAGCAGCACAAACTATTGGCCATGCAACAAATGCCAAGCTTGAGCCACGATACTTTAATACAAACCTCCTCACCCTGCTCACTGCAACAAGTATGGCTAGATTCAAGGTAAGACATGAAAGGTTAGAAGGAGAAGCTAAATGTATGCACGCATGACTGTAAATCGCAAAAGCGTCTTCTAAATGGCATACATATTCAGCATTTTGATTCACAATATATTTTTGTCTTTTGTTTATTTTAAATACTTTGTGTGTTTGTTGCCATCGTCATTAGAGGCAGTGAAATAACAGCAATAAGAGGAATCCCAATAGAATCTTATATATGCATGATAACCTACTTATTGTAGTGTCGTTTTTATTGAACCTACCATCCTGGCACAGTGAAACACATAGAGAGATTTGCCCTGGAACTGTGCGGAGCCGTGACGAGGGGCGGGGGGAACGCTGTGTTCCATTTACACTCGCTGTGTAAGAGGAACTGGGTCATGCACGGTGGCCTACATTTGGATGATTTGTTTTCTTCGTTTTTCCCTCCCCACATATATTTGGTCTGGCCCCGCCCTCTTGGGCTCAGCAGCACAAAAGTAACTAGACTACAGCAATATCCATAGTTGAAACGAAAAAGGACCCTTACATTTGGATAACTTCCATACCCATTTTATGACATTTATCCTAGATTTGTAGTAGAAACACAATGACCCGTCGCAATAACTGCAGAGCCAAACGGTTGCATTATTTCCATATGGATCACACTGTTTACTTGTAAATTCATAAATATGCCTATTAAAAGCGGGGTCACGACTGTTGAATTCCTACCGACAATGTCCAATGGGCTATAAGGCGAGTTCTAAAGGGCGACTGGCGCATACACACATCAAAACATAGTCATTGACAAATTAATAATTATTAGCAGTACAATAAAATATGTGGTTATGCCATGCGTTTCTTTATCCAAGTTTTACCTTTCGTTATAGGTCTTCCTGGAAATCCGTGAAACGCGTAATGAATCTGATTCTTGGTGATGCTGTGTCCTGCATTGTGTGCAATTAAATAGTGTTGTTACAAGATGCAAATCAACCAGTAGCCTAATTGCTCAGACGTTTTGGTTTTGCAGCAAATCGAATAGAAAAAAGGCCAAGGCTGGATGGCTGACCCTTTGAGCGTGGTTGAAGACACCTGCTATTAGTTAGTTTCAGAGAAAATAATAGCTTGATCATTCGATGTCAATGACAGCTCACCAGAAACAGTTATTAAATGCTTTATCTCTAAAAGCCTCTAGTGCTACTGCTACCTTGACTGATAGAGTCTCAAACCAATCAGATTTAGTACAGTCAAACCACGCCCATATAATCCTTATCTATATAACACAATGCAGACCAATGCTCAAACTAGTTACAGTTGAATAGGCGGAGCCTTCGTGCTCCACTTCTGGTCAAATTACAGTTCAGATAGTGTCCACTCCATTAGGATGGGCAATATCACGCATTCACTCATATAATCCTACAACCCAGTTTATATATTACAGACGTTGGCAGATAACATAAATAGCTTTTAGCTGCTATATTTATCAGTACTTCTTTATGAGCATGTCTTGAACTCACACCAATGTAATTACTAATGTATTACCTTGAAGACACAATTATGGGTTATTCTTTAAGAATATAAACTTAATGGGTTTGGGCTACAACTGCCTAATTTCCCTATAATAAACCAAGGAAAATACAAGGTGATATTGTCTTTTGTTTATGTTTTTTGTTGTCAGTTGATTCAATGTATAGCTTCAAAATATGTACATATGCTTAACGTTCATGATCTCATGGACTGTCAGTCATGACGTTTGGCTGGAGTGATGTGGATGGGTAGCCAGGTATATACTGTGGTTTATGCACATCATTGGTAGCCAGGCAAGTTTACTCCAGTCTCTGCTCTTGATTTGTAAGCAGTCCCCTATCACTCAAAGGTGTATAATATGTAGAAATCAAAAAATTAGTGCAGGTATTATTTCCTCCAAACATTTTTATGTTACTTAAATGTAATATTTGAACCAATTCATGGAGCAGAAAAGAGCTTGAATGAAAACAAACATGCTGTTGACATGACCCTATAACAATTGAGTTTGTAATTATATATAACTTTTCTATCAACTGAGGTACTCAAAGCACTTTACATAGTAAGGGGGAAACTCACATCATCCACCACCAATGTGTAGCACCCACCTGGGTGATGCACAGGAACCATTTTGTGCCAGAACACTCACCACACATCAGCTGGAAAGGTGAGGATTGATTTATGCCAATTAGGGGAATGATTAGGTGGCCATGATGGAATGGGACCAGGTTGGGAATTTAGCTATGACAGGGTTAACACCACTACAATAAGAGCCATGGGATTTTTTAATGACCACAGAGAGTCAGGATACCCATTTAACATCCCATCTGAAAGACAGCACCCTAAACAGGGCAATATCCCTGTCATTACTCTGGGATTTCTGTTAGACCAGAGTGCCTCCTACTGGCCCACCAACAACACAACCAGCAGCATCTGGTCTCCCATCCAGGGACCCTGCTTAGCTTCAGAGGCAAGCCAGCAGAGGGCTGCAGGGTGGTATGCTGCTGGCATGAGCTTGTAACCTGGAAAGTTTACAATTTGGGCTTTTTCATCAAAATGTTTCCCATTGGAACATTTATTCAACCCATTGCTCAGTCCATTTCTTTGTTGTAACAAAATGCATATCACTTAATGTTAAAACAAATTTACAGTTAAAAAAGAAAAAGAAAAGTGTGATATACTGATATATAAATACCATAAAACAAATGTGTCTATACATACGTGAATTTTATTGAATAAGAAAATAAATACAGTAATAACATGAAGGAAACATGATTTTAAAGAGAGGAGCATAGAAATAGTTTTATCTCTATAGAGATACAGTGAGGGAAAAATGTATTTGATCCCCTGCTGATTTTGTACATTTGCCCACTGACAAAGACATGATCAGTCTATAATTTTAATCGTAGGTTTATTTGAACAGTGAGAGACAGAATAACAACAAAAAAATCCAGAAAAACGCATGTCAAAAATGTTATAAATTGATTTGCATTTCAATGAGGGAAATAAGTAATTGACCCCCTCTCAATCAGAAAGATGTCTGGCTCCCAGGTGTCTTTTATACAGGTAACGAGCTGAGATTAGGAGCACACTCTTAAAGGGAGCTTGTTACCTGTAGAAAAGACACCTGTCCACAGAAGCAATCAATCAATCAGATTCCAAACTCTCCAACTTGGCCAAGACCAAAGAGCTCTCCAAGGATGTCAGGGCTGGAATGGGCTACAAGACCATCACCAAACAGCTTGGTGAGAAGGTGACAACAGTTGGTGTGATTATTCGCAAATGGAAGAAACACAAAATAACTGTCAATCTCCCTCGGCCTGGGGTTCCATGCAAGATCTCACCTCGTGGAGTTGCAATGATCATGAGAATGGTGAGTAATCAGCCCAGAACTACACGGGAGGATCTTGTCAATGATCTCAAGGCAGCTGGGACCATAATCACCAAGAAAACAATTGGTAACACACTACGCCGTGAAGGACTGAAATCCTGCAGCGTCCGCAAGGTCCCCCTGCTCAAGAAAGCACATATACAGGCCCGTCTGAAGTTTGCCAATGAACATCTGAATGATTCAGAGGAGAACTGGGTGAAAGTGTTGTGGTCAGATGAGACCAAAATCAAGCTCTTTGCCATCAACTCAACTCCCGTGTTTGGAGGAGGAGGAATGCTGCCTATGACCCCAAGAACACCATCCCCACGTCAAACATGGAGGTGGAAACATTATGCTTTGGGGGTGTTTTTCTGCTAAGGGTACAGGACAACTTCACCGCATCTAAGGGACGATGGACGGGGCCATGTACCGTCAAATCATGGGTGAGAACCTCCTTCCCTCAGCCAGGGTATTGAAAATGGGTCGTGGATGGGTATTCCAGCATGACAATGACCCAAAACACACAGCCAAGGCAACAAAGGAGTGGCTCAAGAAGATGTACATTAAGGTCCTGGAGTGGCCTAGCCAGTCTCCAGACCTTAATCCCATAGAAAATCTGTGGAGGGAGCTGAAGTTTCGAGTTGCCAAACGTCAGCCTCGAAACCTTAATGACTTGGAGAAGATCTGCAAAGAGGAGTGGGACAAAATCCCTCCTGAGATGTGTGCAAACCTGGTGGCCAACTACAAGAAACGTCTGACCTCTGTGATTGCCAACAAGGGTTTTGCCACCAAGTACTAAGTCATGTTTTGCAGAGGGGTCAAATACTTATTTCCCTCATTAAAATGCAAATCAATTTATAACATTTTTGACATGCATTTTACTGGATTGTTTTGTTGTTATTCTGTCTCTCACTGTTCAAATAAACCTACCATTAAAATTATAGACCGATCATGTCTTTGTCAGTGGGCAAACGTACAAAATCAGCAGGGGACCAAATACTTTTTTCCCTCACTGTAAATGTATTAATAATCTGTTGAAGTGAAGCTTCATTTTGGGAACAGTGATTTTGCAATACATTTATTTGATTAGAAAATGATTAAATTAATGTTCCAACTGGCAAATGTTTGAAAAAATATGAATGAATATTTTCTAATGGGTTGATATTTCTCAATTATCATTCAAACAATAAGAAGGCGTTAATTATTGAAGCACGACAATAAGAAAAAAAACAAAAACAGAATGCCTTGGACCAGATTCTTCAACAGCCTACCTTATACCTTTAAGGAAATAGATTACTTCTAAGATGAATGTATCATTGAGAGAGATTACAGTACCAAATTTAAATAGAGCAGGTGAGATACACTACAGTACGTGCTACATTTTAATATACCCTTGTCATATAGTTGAGTATGAATACATTTTCATACTCTGTCCAATATTTCTACAAAGCAAAAGAGACAGTAGAGATACATACAGTATATTACACACAATATCATGGTCATTTATAGTTTATTTCAAGCAAAGAGCCAATCTCTTCCCATGTTTGTGCTGTGATGTTTTCATTCTACAGTGACTCCTAAATCAATATATTTGGTATTTTGTACATGATTGTAATACACCTTTATTTATCCCTCCTATTTCCCACATTTGCTCTATTTTTAATATACTCTTATTTTAACTAATTGCTCTGTGCAACAAATGTAATGTGTTAAAGACAGACAGTGTCTCTCCGACTTTGGCTTATTTGTGCAATGTGGATCAGCACTCGACAGGACACATGGGGTGATGCGACAGACTGTCTGTCAGACACACCCCTAACCCATCCTCTCCTCTCAACCAACCTGGTCAATTCACCTATCTGGTCTTTCACTCCAACAGGTAGGTGGAGGACTGGGCAACACAATCTGTGAAAAAAAAGGATATATTATCACTTAAAGGGATATCATAAATGCAGCACAATTCATTGGTATGTACCTGAATTGAGACAAACGAAAAGGTGTAATGGGTTCGCACTCAAAAAGATGTTGCATAAAGCTTACGTCATTATTCAATTTTTTAAATTATTTTCACTGCATCAGGGATAGCGTACATACAGTGGGGAGAACAAGTATTTGATACACTGCCGATTTTTCAGGTTTTCCTACTTACAAAGCATGTAGAGGTCTGTAATTTTTGTCATAGGTACACCTCAACTGTGAGAGACGGAATCATAAACAAAAATCCAGAAAATCACATGGTATGATTTTTAAGTAATTAATTTGCATTTTATTGCATGACATAAGTATTTGATCACCTACCAACCAGTAAGAATTCCGGCTCTCACAGACCTGTTAGTTTTTCTTTAAGAAGCCCTCCTGTTCTCCACTCATTACCTGTATTAACTGCACCTGTTTGAACTCGTTACCTGTATAAAAGACACCTGTCCACACACTCAATCAAACAGACTCCAACCTCTCCACAATGGCCAAGACCAGAGAGCTGTGTAAGGACATCAGGGATAAAATTGTAGACCTGCACAAGGCTGGGATGGGCTACAGGACAATAGGCAAGCAGCTTGGTGAGAAGGCAACAACTGTTGAAACAATTATTAGAAAATGGAAGAAGTTCAAGATGACGGTCAATCACCCACGGTCTGGGGCTCCATGCAAGATCTCACCTCGTGGGGCATCAATGATCATGAGGAAGGTGAGGGATCAGCCCAGAACTACACGGCAGGACCTGGTCAATGACCTGAAGAGAGCTGGGACCACAGTCTCAAAGAAAACCATTAGTAACACACTACGCCGTCATGGATTAAAATCCTGCAGCGCACCCAAGGTCCCCATGCTCAAGCCAGCGCATGTCCAGGCCCGTCTGAAGTTTGCCAATGACCATCTGGATGATCCAGAGGAGGAATGGGAGAAGGTCATGTGGTCTGATGAGACAAAAATAGAGCTTTTTGGTCTAAACTCCACTCGCTGTGTTTGGAGGAAGAAGAAGGATGAGTACAACCCCAAGAACACCATCCCAACCGTGAAGCATGGAGGTGGAAACATCATTCTTTGGGGATGCTTTTCTGCAAAGGGGACAGGACGACTGCACCGTATTGAGGGGAGGATGGATGGGGCCATGTATCACGAGATCTTGGCCAACAACCTCCTTCCCTCAATAAGAGCATTGAAGATGGGTCGTGGCTGGGTCTTCCAGCATGACAACGACCCGAAAACACACAGCCAGGGCAACTAAGGAGTGGCTCCGTAAGAAGCATCTCAAGGTCCTGGAGTGGCCTAGCCAGTCTCCAGACCTGAACCCAATAGAAAATCTTTGGAGGGAGCTGAAAGTCCGTATTGCCCAGCGACAGCCCCGAAACCTGAAGGATCTGGAGAAGGTCTGTATGGAGGAGTGGGCCAAAATCCCTGCTGCAGTGTGTGCAAACCTGGTCAAGACCTACATATGATCTCTGTAATTGCAAACAAAGGTTTCTGTACCAAATATTAAGTTCTGCTTTTCTGATGGTCAAATACTTATGTCATGCAATAAAATGCAAATTAATTACTTAAAAATCATACAATGTGATTTTCTGGATTTTTGTAGATTCCGTCTCTCACAGTTGAAGTGTACCTATGATAAAAATGACATACCTCTACATGCTTTGTAAGTAGGAAAACCTGCAAAATCGGCAGTGTATCAAATACTTGTTCTCCCCACTGTATGTACCTGAATTGACATCACTCACATTACAAATCATTTGGGGAAATAAAGTAATTGTAAATCTATAATATGATAGTTAAACCAGGCATACCTTACAGGCTACTTATTCCTCGCCTGCCGGTCAAGGAATTTCTGTTTTCTATCTGGAGGAATCTCTTCCAAACTGATGCCATGGTTGCTCGCCCTGAGGAAAGGCAAAGACAGAAGGTTTAGTGTCTTGTTTGATTGGCAGTGCACACTGAGCACTCAGACTATCTTGGAATAGGCATTAAACATATCAATCCCAGCATATGAAGCAACAAAAGCCCTGTCCACACTGACAACTGTTTTCAACAACCGCTGTTGACAACCGTGTCTCAGAATGTTCATTACAACTGAGTTTGAACTCTTAACACAGATATAAAATGTTCATGTGGACAGGGGTAAATGAGGCAACCACCAGGGTAATGTGTTAAAACATTACAGCGTTGTTTGCTGCCTGCCAGGGAGAGTGTTCATCACACATGCCTTCTGAAAGTATTCAGACCCCTTGACTTTTTCCACATTTTGTTACATTACAGCCTTATTCTAACATGGATTTAAAAATAAATAATCCTCAGCAATCTACACACAATACCCCATAATGACAAAGTGAATACAGGTTTTAATTTTAATTTTAGCAAATGTATTAAAAAAATAAAATAAAAATACCTCATTTACATAAGTATTCAGACCCTTTGCTATGAGACTCAAAATTGAGATCAGGTGCATCCTGTTTTCATTGATCATCCTTGAGATGTTTCTACAACTTGATTGGAGTCCACCTGTGGTAAATTAAATTGATTGGACATGATTTGGAAAGGCACACACCTGTCTATATAAGGTCCCACAGTTGACAGTGCATGTCAGAGCAAAAACCAAGCCATGAGGTCGAAGGAATTGTCCGTAGAGCTCCGAGACAGGATTGTGTAGAGGCACAAATCTGGGGAAGGGTACCAAAACATTTCTGCAGCATTGGAACCACCAAGACTCTTCCTAGAGCTGGCCAACCGGCCAAACTGAGTAATCGGGGAGAAGGGCCTTGGTCAGGGAGGTGACCAAGAACACGATGGTCACTCTGACAGAGCTCTAGAGTTCCTCTGTGGAGATGGGAGAACCTTCCAGAAGGACAACCATCTTTGCAGCACTCCACCAATCAGGCCTTTATGGTAGAGTGGCCAGACGGAAGCCACTCCTCAGTAAAAGGCACATGACAGCCCGCTTGGAGTTTGCCAAAAGGCACCTAAAGACTCTCAAACCATGAGAAACAACATTCTCTGGTCTGAAGAAACCAAGATTGAACTCTTTGGCCTGAATGCCAAGCGTCACGTCTGGAGGAAACCTGGCACCATCCCTACGGTGAAGCACAGTGGTGGAAGCATCATGCTGTGGGGATGTTATTCAGCGGCAGGGACTGGGAGATTAGTCAGGATCGAGGCAAAGATGAACAGAGCAAAGTACAGAGAGATCCTTAATGAAAACCTGCTCCAGAGCGCTCAGGACCTCAGATTGGGGTGAAGGTTCACCTTCCAACAGGACAACAACCCTAAGCACACAGCCAAGACAATGCAGGAGTGGCTTCGGGACAAGTCTCTGAATGTCCTTGAGTGGCCCAGCCAGAACCCAGACTTGAATCCGATCTAACATCTCTGGAGAGACCTGAAAATAGCTGAGCAGCAACGCTCCACATCCAACCTGACAGAGCTTGAGAGGATCTGCAGAGAAGAATGGGAGAAACTCCCCAAATACAGGTGTGCCAAGCTTGTAGTGTCAAAACCAAGAAGACTCAAGGCTGTAATCGCTGCCAAAGGTGCTTCAACAAAGTACTGAGTAAAGGGTCTGAATATTTATGTATTTTTAATACATTTGCAAAAAATTCAAAAAAACTGTTTTTGCTTTGTCATTATGTGTGTAGATTGATGAGGGGAAAAAACTATTTAATCCGTTTTAGAATAAGGCTGTAACGTAACAAAATGTGGAAAAAGTCAAGGGGTCTGAATACTTTCCGAATGCACTGTAGTGCAGTGGGAGGTCAGGATTAATTACATTTGAGTTAAACAGACAAGTGGTAGATGAAGAATTTTACATTTGGGTGAGCACGTGAACTGAACCACGACACAAGGGTCAGGTCAGCAGCACATAGAAATTATGATTTATAAAACTTTTAGTTCCAGCCACACATTATCACACATTATCAGATTTTTCTAAATTATTTTCGGACATCTTATCCTCTATATCCACGATGACCTAGATGAAAATCAACTTTAATGCGAACTGGTTGCATGAGTACTACTGACAAGGGGCTTGGGACAAGCACCCGGCAGGACTGAGAGTCAATGAGAGTATAGTTAAGAGAAACATAAAGTACAATATAAATAGAGCAGGAAGGCTTGTTAAATCTTACCCTGGAGTAAGATCAGGCGGTCTGGGGAGAACCTTGTCGAACCCAGCTCTTCCAACCAACCAGAATGTGTTTTCAACACCCTTCCCCTGAAAGAGAAGTAGGGAATAACAGAATGTAAGTACGCATTTCACTGATAGTCTACACCTGTTGTTTACAAAGCATGTGACAAATAAAAATAGATTTGAGTGGTAAGTTAAGTGAATTCACTGTTTGGGTCTGTCTGTCTGTCTCTGTGTGTGTGTGTGTCTACCTTCAGCTCTGTCATGCCCCTGGTGTCTATTTTGTAGCCCATTTTCAGTTCATGTAGGATATCGACTGTGCTTTGGTTGACATGGATTCTGTAAGCTGGGATATCAAACAACAACAGCAACCACAAAGGCAGCATTAGTCTTCAAATATTCTGACAGTTAATTCAATGTAAACAATGACCATTAGTTATTAATGTCTATAGAGTATCAACATTCGTGACATCATACAGTACTCACATATCCTACATATATTTAGATTTTCATTCATTGGTTGATCATAAATTGATTTAGTATAGAGCAACACAATATCATTTATTGTGTGTGAGCCCATAGACAGTAGTCACAAGAGCAGTTTTTTGTGCAGCAATTCATATGTATGGCCACATGGTGGGAGTAGATGTGAGATTTCCTGTACTCTTATGTCACTGACTAGTACAGACATTATATTTTAGTTTTTTTTTTACATTTTAGTCATTTAGCAAATGCTCTTATCCAGAGCGACTTACAGTTAGTGAGTGCATACATTTTCATACTGGCCCCCCGTGGGAAACGAACCCACAACCCTGGCGTTGCAAGCGCCATGCTCTACCAACTGAGCTACATATACTCACTATAGCGACTATACTGGTTGCCCCTCACTACTATAAATACCCTATGTGTTGCTAGGAATCAGCAGTTAAATAAGCATATATTGTTTTGAAAGATTAGAAGATTATGAGGTTGTTTAACTATTCGTATCATCAACCCAATGGTTTTTATAAGTGTTACATTAACTTATAACACATACAAATCTCAACACATTATGAAGTTAACAATTGCTGTACCAGCATAATTGGTGAAAGGGTATCTGAGGCAATGGAGGATATTTTGATTAAACCCTAAATTTGCCCACTAATTCTACTGATAGTCTTAAAGGATTAGTCAGGACTGCTCATCGTAAACCTCCTTAGCCTCTTGTTGCATGCACACAAATGGCAATACACCTGTCCCTATCCATAGTGACCTCACACAGCGTGATGGGCAAACAACGAGTGTGAGGTACTCACGCAACCCAGTGGACTCCATTCGAGAAGCCGTGTTGACAGTGTCTCCGAACAGACAGTACCGAGGCATCGTCAGACCCACCACTCCTGCCACCACAGGGCCTGGTGGACACAGAAACACACATGTAGATGATACACATGCTGATAAGATCAGAAGTAGCATAATTTCGGATTTATGACTTGTGATTCATGACTTATTCAAAGAGCCTCCAATATGTCTCACAGAAGTCTCTGGAGAAAAAATGGCAAATGCAGTTTAATTGCAGAATATCCTTTCAATGTTTAGCAGAGATGTCAGAATATTTATACAGAATACAATTATGTTTTTTCTGAGCTGTCCTTTACCATACCTAAAAGTAGTCACTTCTGTGTTACTAGAAACATGCAAAACCTTCCATATTAATTGGTAGGGTAGAGTAACTAGAAGAACGCATTAGGCAGTGGAGACTAATAGGATGACAGGGCTAAGTGGATGACATTTCACTGTTCCAGGAATATGTTCCAGACGGGGATCAGGTAAAAATACACTTTTGCTCCAATACTCTGATGTTAATGCCATGTTCTAGAGAATTCCAATACTCATTCTCAAATTTCATTAAATATAATATATCAAAAATGTAGTTTGCTTAAGTATTGAATTTTACTATTCATCTGTTAACTTTGTTGCATATGCATGAACTGCAATGTATAGCAGTTGATCTCATGGACTGCCAGTCATTGCATCTATAGCTCCATCTATGAATTTGACAGTAACATTTCTCCAGCCCCGTGTATGCACGCATGAGTGTAAGTCGCTTTGGATAAAAGCATCTGCTAAATGGCATATATTATTATTATATTATCCCACAGCTTAATAGCAAACCAAGTGGCGGGGCTACCGTTTGGCTGAAAAACGAATGAAGAATTGTGGCTTTCAAGAGAAAAGGCCAGTCAATATGTCTACATTATGAATGCTGAGACAGAGGATTAAAAAATGACAAATAATTTTAGATGGGCCACGCACCAGAGTGAAGGCCGATACGAATCTTGACCTTGACGTCAGGCATGTGCCTCATCTTGAAGGTTCCAATACAGTGGAGGATGTCCAGGGACATGTTGGACATCTCAGCTGCGTGGCGTCTACCGTTCCGGTTTGGAACTCCAGAGGCTACCATGTAGGCATCTCCGATGGTCTCCACCTGAAGGCCACACAATCAATATCTTTATAGTCCGAATTGGGAAATTTGGAATCCACCCATTTACTTCCAGGATTTGTATTGAACGTAGAACAAGCTTCCATTGCATCACTAATAGGACACAACTCTTTTGCAGCAGGACAGGATTCTCACCTTGTAGACATCATGCTGCCCGATGATGGCATCAAAGAGTGTGTAGAGATCATTGAGTAAGTCTACCACCTCAATGGGCTCGCTGAGTGCAGAGATGGTGGTGAAGCCCACAATGTCACTGAAGTACAGAGTGACCTCAGAGAAGTGCTCTGGTTTCACAGGCTTGCCTGTCTTAAGGGCCAGGCACACAGACCTATAGTGTAAGACAAGACAAGGGAGTGGATAGATGGATGCGGATAGAGGTTAGGAGAATAAATAACAAGCGGCCAATTAACTAAAACACTTGCACAGTAATACAATTCAATATTCTCAATACAGAGACATTTTTTATTTTTGATGTTGCAAATAGACATGTGAAGCTTTGTGGGAGGTGGGAGGAGAGGGGGGCTGACCTGGGCAACATCTGGGCCAGCAGCTGGTCAGTCTTCTTCCTCTCCACCTCCAGCTCCTCTGTCCTCTCCCTGATCAGGTCCTCAAGGTTGGTGGAGTACTGCTCCAACATACGCAGCATTGAGTCTATGATGTTGGTCTTCTTCCCCTTGGTTATACTCTTGAACTAAAGTATGAAAGGAAAACATAGAACATGCAGTGAGGAGGTGAAGTGTGTTACATATTACTGTAATATAGTTCACGAAAAGCATGTCGCTTTGAGTTCTTGTTAGCTTGAGACTGAGTTCATTGTGTTCAGGTGTGTGCCCTTTGCATGTCTGTGAAAAAAATTGTAGGGCAAATTCAACCCATCTATACTGAAGCATCTGGCTGACTGAATACCAGGCCAATCTGAGGTGCCTGGAACCAGCAGAGCTCACCAAGTAGACATCTACCTGTCTGCAACTGCCCACCAACAGCAGAGATGAAAGACAGGACAGGATCTAATCACTCTCTCCTCCTTCCCCACCATATTCAGGATTAAAGGTAACAATTAAGTACCTTACTGTGGTTGTTTTCAATTAAAATTGTCAAAAGGAAACAAAAATTGCTTCTTAGCAAAGAGCAATTTCTCAAGCAAGAAATTTGCTAGTACTGTCTGGGAGTGGTCTGAGTGGGACGAGGAAAACTGGCAGAGAGGGTTGGAACTGTTTGTTATTGGTATATTAACTAATTTACAACCTGGTGATGTTACCTGGCAGGCCAAAACTCCAACCCAACAAAACAGACTGAAATTACAGGTGGTCTTTTGAAACAGCTCTTACACTAAAAGGGTATTATCGTAATTTTCAGAATTTCACAGTATTATTCCAACCTTATAGTGAGGAAATATAATATACAGTGGTATAGTGCTATTTTTTTAGGTGATGGAGCAAAACAATTATAATTAAATTACGTCATAATTTCCTCAATCAAAGTTTGTACTGACAGATGTAGCCAATTGAATAACCTATCAATATAGAATATGCATAATATGAATCCTCCAATTGCAAAGTCTGCCTATGCCCACATATTGTCTCAAGAAAATGTTATATTTCTAATACCCTCAAACACAGGCTACCTAAAAGTTCAAACTGCATCTCCATGCCAATCATTTGATTAATCTCCATCAGCTACATGGAAATATGAATTTAGATCTTCTTGAATTACTGTTTCGTGAGCAAATTAGAGCAGATGGTGTTAACAAACTATTAGCCTTTCTTGTGTTTTGTTTCAATCAAAGCATATATCCTGCCTAGTGGTATGCTCTGTTGAGTTTTGGCGCATGAGACATTTTTTGGAACTATTCAGTTTCAGCTAACCATCCTAAAATCTCATTAGAAATGAGATGTTTTTGGTGTAACAGTAACGTTATAGACCTACTATGCGATGGTATTATATTCGGTTCTGTTATGTAAAATGCAAATGAATCATTATGTGATCTTGCCAGACATTGATTTAGCTATGATATAACTTTACTAAACAAGCACGTTTGTGGGAAGTGATAATCTTATATTTGTAATAATAATAATAATAATAATAATAATAATAATAATAATAATAAATGATAATAAGTGATGAGTATGACTATTAGGTGTAGGCAACAGATCTTGAGCAGACGTCATTTTAAGCAATTGGAGCACCCTTCATGGTGCTTAAAAGACAGTACCAGGATGTTAAACAAGAGCTGCCGCTTTCAAGGAGAGGGACACTAATCTGGACGCTTATAAGAAATCCCGCTATGCCCTCAGACGAACCATCAAACAGGCAAAGCGTCAATACAGGACTAAGGTTGAATCCTACTACACAGGCTCTGACGCTCCTCGGATGTGGCAGGGCTTGCAAACTATTATGGACTACAAAGGGGAACCCAGCTGTGAGCTGCCCTGTGACGCGAGCCTACCAGACGGGCTAAATGCCTTTTATGCTCGCTTCGAGGCAAGCAGCACTGAAGCATGCATGAAAGCACCAGCTGTTCCGGACGACTGTTTGATCACGCTCTCTATAGCCGATGTGAGCAAGACCTTTAAAACAGGTCAACATTCACAAGGCTGCGGGGCCAGACAGATTACCAGGACGTGTACTCAGAGCATGTGCGGACCAACTGGCAAGTGTCTTCACTGACATTTTCAACTTCTCCCTGACCAAGTCTGTAATACCTACATGTTTCAAGCAGACCACCATAGTCTCTGTGCCCAAGAAAGCGAAGGTAACCTGCCTAAATGACTACCGCCCCGTAGCACTCACGTCAGTAGCCATGAAGTGCTTTGAAAGGCTGGTCATGGCTCACATGAACACCATCATCCCGGAAACCCTAGACCCACTTCAATTCGCATACTGCCCCAACAGAGCCACAGATGACGCAATCTCAATAGCACTCCACACTGCCCTTTCCCACCTGGACAAAAGGAACACCTATGTGAGAATGCTGTTCATTGACTACAGCTCAGCGTTCAACACCATAGTGCCCACAAAGCTCATCACTAAGCTAAGTACCCTGGGACTAAACCTCCCTCTGCAACTGGATCCTGGACTTCCTGACGGGCCGCCCCCAGGTGGTAAGGGTAGGCAACGACACGCTGATCCTCAACACAGGGGCCCCTCAGGGGTGCGTGCATTGTCCCCTCCTGTAATCCCTGTTCACCCACGACTGCGTGGCCAAGCACGACTCCAACACCATCATTAAGTTTGCTGACGACACAACAGTGGTAGGCCTGATCACCGACAACGATGAGAAAGCCTATAGGGAGGAGGTCAGAGACCTGGCAGTGTGGTGCCTGGACAACAACCTCTCCCTCAATGTGAGTAAGACAAAGGAGCTGATCGTGGACTACAGGAAAAGGAGGGCCGAACACACCCCCATTCACATCAACGGGGCTGTAGTGGAGCAGATCGAGAGTTTCAAGTTCCTTGGTGTCCACATCACCAACAAACTATCATGGTCCAAACACACCAAGACAGTCGTGAAGAGGGCACGACAACGCCTTTTCCCCCTCAGGAGACTGAAAAGATTTGGCATGGGTCCCCAGATCCTCAAAAAGTTATACAGCTGCACCATCGAGAGCATCCTGACCGGTTGCATCACCGCCTGGTATGGCAACTGCTCTGCATCCGACCGTAAGGCGCTACAGAGGGTAGTGCATACGGCCCAGTACATCACTGGGGCCAAGCTTGCTGCCATCCAGGACTTATATACTAGGCGGTGTCAGAGGAAGGCCCAAAGAAATTGTCAAAGACTCCAGTCACCCAACTCATAGACTGTTCTCTCGCTACCACATGGCAAGTGGTACCGGAGCGCCAAGTCTAGGTCCAAAAGGCTCCTTAATAGCTTCTACCCCCAAGCCATAAGACTGCTGAACAATTAATCAAGTTGCCACCCAGACTATTTACATTGACCCCCCCCCTTTGTTTTTACACTGCTGCTACTCGCTGTTTATTATCAATGCATAGTCACTTTACCCCTACCTACATGTACAAATTACCTTGACTAACCTGTACCCCCGCACATTGACTCGGTACCGGTACCCTGTATATAGCCTCGTTATTGTTATTTTCTTGTGTTACTTTTTATTAAATGTTTTACTTTAGTTTATTTAGTAAATATTTTCTTAACTCTATTTCTTGAACTGCATTGTTGGTTAAGGGCTTGTAAGTAAGCATTTCACGGTAAGGTCTACACCTGTTGTATTCGGCGCATGTGACAAATAAAATTGGATTTGATTTGAACAAGTTGAACCAACTTGTGGTGCTGAAGGATAGCTCTGCGCATTTGGCCAGCTCAGGAACAAACAATAATTAGCAGTAGGCCTATAACCTATCTTGTGTAGCTATTTGTAGGCTATAGCCTAATATAAATACAAATACATATAGTTTAATATCATTGCACTGTTTGTGAGGAGAGCTTTATTGTGAGTAGGCATTTCATGGTATTGTGTAGCTTTTACACGCTGTATCATAAATACACTTTGATTTGATTAGCTTAAACACATGGTTACAATCTACCCTATTAAAGACTAAAAGAAAACAGAGAGGTGAACTATCAATTCATATAATTTATTTACATAGTTTAAGCATGCTATCAAATCAATTGACCAAGTAGTGAGCCTAAACCTTTACTATGTAGAATTGCAGGAAATTAATTTTAACTCAAGATTTCAGCATGTAAATCTTGGTGGGACAAACTCAACATTTTTTTTTTTTTATGCATGCCTGACTCCACCCTTGCTCTCCATTCAGACTGGACTACATAAGCATTGCACGAAACCGCGCATAATGAGCACTAGTAATAGTGTATATTTGTAGGCACCAACTCCACCATGGCTCATTGGCCAAAGCCTATGGGGAAATGTATGGCGGTTTTGTAGTCTTGGGGGGGATAAACACCAAAAATAGGGTCTGTGGTAAACACAAGCTTAGAAGAGCTTATACATTTTGTTCTATGAGATCATTTTGTGTATTTTGAAGCATTTATGTAATCAAAATAAGCACATAAAGGCTTCAGAATTCATATAACGGTCATGTTAACTGACTGATATTATCTCATAGAACAAAACATATAAGATCTCCTAAGCATGTTAACCTCAGACCTTATTTTCAGCGTTTTTCCCAAAACCCCATTCTTTCCACATTAATTTCCCCCATAGGAATGGCTGAATGAACCAGAGGTAACTCATTTCCGGTTTTTAGGACTACAAGCTGGCGAGCTCTATTGCTGCCCAACTTCTGTTTCACTAGATGTAGTGAAAATAGGTAACTGGAATGCACCTTTTGTCCATTGATCTCACCTCAGTCTCAGTGGACTGAGCTGATATCAATCTTGGACTATTGAACAGGGATATTTAAACAATATTGCACGAGGGGGTGTGGTAGATGGCCAATACACCACGGCTAATGGCTGTTCTGGATACAGCCCTTAACCCTGGTATATTGGCCATATATCACAAACCCCCCAAGGTGCCTAATTGCTATCATGAACTGGTTACATAATTAATTAGAACAGTAAAAATACATGTTTTGTCATACCCTTGGTTTACGGTCTGATATACCACGCTGTCAGCCAATCAGCATTCAGGGCTGGAACCACCCAGTTTATAATTTTCCTTTGTGCATGAAAGGACTCATTCGGACCTCGACCAGGAGCCACTACAGAGTTTACTTAAACTAATTCAATGTTGTCTCCTCATCCCTAAAATCCCTGCTTGGCTTGAGCGTGTAAATCTGTGTGTCCCTCTATATTATTTAGGCTATCTTTCTCCTAGACATTCCTGCGTTGTTTCGTTTTAGAGTTATTAGAATAACTGCTTGCCTGACCCTTTTGGGCCATCTAATTCCCCTATTCCCTGTTGAGTTTGAATCTGTAACCATATCGTATCATTTTGCCCCAAATCCTTCATTAATCATTCATCCTGTAAAATGAATTGCTTTATCTTGATGCGCTTAAAATAAATCTTATTCGTTTATAAAGTATTCGCTGCCTCTGAGATATGAATTTGTCTTGTCATTCAATAACTCAATTTCTTTCAGAATTATAATGATTGTAGGTAGTTATAATTGCAAGGTCGGCCCTCTCATTAGGCAGGATTAGGAGGCCGCCTATGGCGGCAGATTGACGAGGGCGGCATTTTCTGAGCTAAACGGGGCAAGACGCACCTCCAACAACAACACATAAAACCTCACATAATTCTGCAAAAAAGCAATGACAATTTCTCTCAACCAGTGACATATGGGTTTTTAGGTGAGTGCTGATGCCGCCTTGTGATAAACAGTACCCACTTTGTCAAAGGTAGGGGCGCAAAATATTTGTCTTGTCCATTCCCAGCGCGCCTCTCCAGGGGTCTGTTGGAGAGACGCATCGCTGCAGCGCTCCACCAACGTTCCATCAAAAAAAACATCTAACATAAATCATGTAGCAGATATAGGGTATGGTAGAAAGAGTATGTTGCCTTTTCTGTAGCCTACAGGCTGGAGATAAAATGTATGACAATGTAATGAGATGACAATGTAATGAGACGGACACTTTTTACATCGTACAGGCTTTTCCGATCAAATAGCCTAACCGAAATGGCGCCCAATCAATAAAGAAAATGTGCTGTCATGTTAAACAACATATCAGAAAAACAGGACAGGTCAAAGTAAAATTGACAATATGGAAGAGACAATCACAACTGTTGTCCAGGAGTTTCATCCCATTGTCATAATCAGTGGTTTCAAGTTTGTATCCCTCCATCCTTTTTTGGTGCAGTCCAGAGCAGCCTTGATTTCCACATCCATGGACATTGGTTTTTGGTTCGGTCTGGACAAAATCTGAACCAATCATAGATGTCTATGTTTGGTTCAGATTTTGTCCGGTCTGGATCAGCCTTGATTTGGCCCAATATAGATGTCTATAAATTACATATTTTCAACTTTAATTCAGAAGCGAAACTGAACCTGATTTCAATGTCCGGAAAATATGTATTTTTCAACATCCGGAAAAGATGCCTTTTGAATGTCCTGGAAAATATGTATTTTTAAGGTCTTGCCTAGGGCGGCAGGCAAGGACCTGCCATGTATAATTGTAACTATTTATAGTTTCCTACCGACTACAAAAGTGTTGGTGGTGCTCCGACTTTCACATGTAATATTGTAAATTAATAACCTAATGAATTAGACATTATCATAGTGTAGCACATGGGGATGTGTGAAACTTACTCCTCAGCCTTACGTGTCCTGCTTGGGTCACCTCATTAACTAGATTTTGAGGTGGCGCGATCTGCTAATACACTTAAGGGAGGACGGTCACGTGTGCTAGTAAGGCAGAGGTCCCGAGTTTGCGCCAGGTATGGGCCGAGTCGGGAGGAAATGGTACTCGCTAAGCAAGCAGCATGGTGTCCTTTACAATAGCATATTACACCATTCTTTTACAACATGTTGTTACGAAACCGATTAACTAGCATGCTAATATTGTTGCTCTCGCTAAGAGTAGGGGTCTTAGGCCTAGTTAACTGGTCTGTAACCTAAATTTAAGATGTGCATCTAGGTGAAAAATCAGTGTATGCACCTAGCTGTTGAATGTACATGTGCCCAGGGAGACAGCAACCTTACCTTGGTCCAGGGCCAGCTCTGTCTCTCTTGACCTCTTGGTCGGCCAGTCCAAACTGTCACGCCCTGGCTCTGGGACTCTGTTATGTTGAGCCAGGGTGTGTTGTTTCTATGTGTTTTGTGTTCTAGGTTTATTATCTAGCTCTTGTGTTTCTGTGTTGGCCGGGGTGGTTCTCAATCAGAGGCAACGAGTATCAGCTGTTGCTTGTTGTCTCTGATTGGGAACCATACTTAGGCAGCCTGTTTTCCACAGTGTTTTGTCGGATCTTGTTCCGTGTATGGTTAGTGTCTGTTACCAAGGACGTCACGTATCATTTTGTTGTTTTGTTCGTGTGGTACTCTAATAATAAAAGTATGTTCGCAAATCACGCTGCGCATTGGTCCACTCCCTTCAACGATCGTGACACAAACGGATTATTGATTGGTTCAGATGATGACAAAAATAAATATATACAAAAAGGAAAACTACAAATGACGTGCCCAAAGTAAAGAATCAAAACCAAACTAAAGGCCACATGGCCACCAAACCAACCAGCAGCCTCACGACTCCAAGCTGGCACTCTGACTGATGATCACCTTAAGTGGCGGCACCTGATGTGCTTTTAAACCAGGCTCAGCACTTGGACAAGGTTGCTGCTGCCCCCTGGGGGAATGGAGTGTGGAAGTGGTAGTGAGCTGGAGTGTGCTGTCTAAACTACCTGACCTATTCCATAACAATGTACTGTATGTGTGTGTATGTATATATGTAGCTTTGTGTATGTTTGTGTATAGTAAAGTAGGCAACCTGTTTGAAGATCTCCTCGAAGGTGGGTCTCATGTCTGGCTTCTCACTCCAGGCCTGTTTCATGACCTGGATCACCTCTAGTGGAGCCTCATCCGCTGACACAGTGGGCCGACACAGTGGTGGGGGGGATTTCAACTTACTGAGGATCTCTGTCAAACACACACACACACCTATACTGTCCAATAATTGTACTGTTCATATTGGCATGGTGGCCGTCCTGCTGTATTTGTTTTACATCTGACACAACTAGCCCCATGTATGGTGGTACTGTTTGATATGAGGTCTCACCCTTGGGAGGCATGTCCAGCATGCAGAAGGGAGCAGAGCGGGCGATGACCTCCTGCATAACGATGGCGAAGCTGTAGACGTCCCCATGGAATGTTCCTCTCTTCATCAGCTTGGAGTTCCTTAGCAGCTCTGGAGCCGTCCACAGTTGATCTGTTAGGTGGACCAGGGAGTTAGGGGACAAGAGTGGCGGGTTGGATTAAGTGTTTTTCACACACAACCTGACCAGGGGGGAAAACGAACAAGTGTCTTTATTTTCTTGTAATTACTTGGTAAATGATGAGAATGATTAGCTGTCTCTGATACGTTGTCCTGTATGTGTCCCCATGGACTTACCCTCAGGCCTGCCTTCGTCAAAGTTGATGCTCTGGGTGGATAAGATCTCGTTGAAGCCGTACTCAGTCACCTTCAGCACAAAGCGTCCGTCCACCACACAGTTTCGGGACTTCAGGCGCCCGTGGATGACATGCCGGTTGTGCAGGTACTTCATTCCCTGGGAGGGAAAGAAAAGATTGAGGACAGAGTGTAAACAATGAGGAGAGAGATATAGTCAGAAATGTCTATGAATGTGAGAGTTGTTTCCCCCCTCACCCTGATCAGATCCATCAACAGGGAGGACTTGAACATCCAGTCGAGACGCATTTCCTCATTGTTGAGAAGGTCCTCCAAGCTGCCCCTGCTACAGTGCTCTGTCACAATACCAAAGATCCCTGAGTCGAGGAACAGGCCAAGCAACAGGTTGAGGTTCTCATGCCGCATGTCCCTGAGCTGAGAGAGGGGGAGAAGATAGAGAGGAGAAGTAGGTTATGACAGAGGAACAGCGCAGCGTTCAGACAGCGCTTCAATGTCTTGCTGTTTTCACTGACTCACTCAGTCAGTCACTCACCTTGGTGAAAATATTTGTAGTGCTATCACTGACACTTGACACAGTGTTTCCATTGGGACATCTCTTCAACCAAACCCAGTCACCCTAGTGAACACAGAAGATAAAGGTATTAGCAAATGTTTATCTGGAAAACCCAAAATGCAAGGGACAGGGACACTAAACAGAGATGTATTTGTTTATAACTGTTTGTCACCAAGACAGGCAAGAGTAGCAACATTGGGTGTTATTTCTTGCATGCAGCACATCAAACATTGGAATATTGGATTGCTGTCTCTGTTTGACAGTAGTTTTACATTAGATTCACCACATTAACATGTGACCCACCTCGAAGACGGCGACGTTGGAGCTGTCAGGGGTGGAGCAAAAGTAGCTGCGTCCCGACACGGAGTGGCGAGGCGTTTTCACGTCCAGCTGACTCTTCATCATACTATCCTCATTCAGCTTCTACAGAGAGACAGAGAGAGACACAGAGAGAGACACAGAGAGAGACAGAGAGAGAGAGAGAGAGAGAGAGAGAGAGAGAGAGAGAGAGAGAGAGAGAGAGAGAGAGAGAGAGAGAGAGAGAGAGAGGTTACAAGGGCTTCAGAATAGAAAGTCCATCAAAGATAAGGGACTTTAAAACAGACACAAACTCACACACACACACAAATACAGTATTTAGGCTATAGGCCTTTATGGTATGATAGGCATCAAGCTGACCCTTATGCTGTTCTGGGTATTGATGAAAATCAGGTCATCCAGATTCAAGACTACTTTTAAGGACCCTCCTCCTCCCCCTGATCCTCCAAAGCTGATTCCAATCCGGCCACCTCTCCTGATCAGACACAAAGGGGAAGACCCCAAAACATCAGTAACCTCATTTACAAACGAAAGTGTGTTCAATGCAGAAGACAAAATAGGCAGCTGATTGGCACACTCCTCCCTGTGTTTGAGCTTAACTTACTTCATATAGAAGGCAACTCCACCTCCAACCAACCCACAGAACAGGACAAACAGAAAGAGGATAGTACCTGCGTCCATTCCTAAAGGCAGAGAAGGGGATAGAAAGAGAGTGATGAAGAGAAAGAGTTAGAGGGAACACAGACCTCATTTTACCATAGGCTACTGGTACATCACTGACCCCAACGCTAGACCACCTACCCCCACCACAGGTGATGTATGGACTGAACCAGCAACGGGAGTCTGTGCTGGGGCTACTGCCTGCAAAGTGGATGGAGCGCCCATTGTACTTGACCGCCCCAAATTTGCCAAGGGTGTGGGGGGCCTCCAGAGTGTGTGTCATGTAGAGTTTATCTCCCCCGTCAGAGTCCAGGACCACGTAGCGAGCCAGCATCCCCAACCCATCTTTGTCGGATGAGATGTGCTGGTTGAAGCCCTCAAATTTGACCCCTCCATCGCTCTCGAGCATGGTTTCCCCATCCACCCAGCGCCCCGCTGCCATGCGACTCTTCTCCACTGCATAGGCCATGTAGTATATCATGTTGTAGATGGTGCCGAAAAATGGAGACACCTATGTCAGGGGAGAAGAGTGGTGACAATGTATAAATCATTTATCTGACCGACTGTTATTGAAGACTCTGTCTGTAGACTCTTTAGACTGGCAGTAAGGGTTTTGATGATGTTAGGCAGGGAGTACAGAAATAGAGGAACATACCATTACCAAGACAGTGGTACGGCACTGACAAACCACTGGTCATTATCATTAATAATAAAACATTCCAACAACATTCATATGTATTTGGTTTTAAGGCTAGAGAGGTCCAAAGACCTATAGGTTACCTGTTTGTGAAGAACTAAAACTCAAGAGTACTGTTGCTCATCCAAAGGTGCTTGCTACAGTACTGCATGTCCATGGCATGTGTGACTAATGATGACTAGATGAATATCCCAGGAGCTGTGTTCTGGGATGTCTCACCTGATCTGGTGGAGTGCTGGTGCGGATCTCAAATTTCTCCTGAGCATTTTTGAAGCTCTGATAGAAAGTATTCTCGCCAGAATCCATGGTGATTGTGAGAACTGCATCGTAGGCCTTTCTCAACAAGCTGTCATTGGTCAGGGCATGAAGGTTTGTGCCCTTGGGCAGTGAGTATGTGAGGGTGTCGTAGGGGATGAAAACGTAGCCACGATCTATCATACGTATGTTCAAGGCAGAGGTTAAGAGCTGATACTGGGCCACACCACCGATCAAAGCTGAGTGCATGCACATGATGACCACTGCAGAGACAGAGAAGGGGGAGAAGGAAAGAAGGAGGAGAACAGGAGGAGAGTAAAAGGTTAGTGAAGACAGAGATAGAGGACAGAAGAAGGGAATAGTAGAGACAATTATTAGTCATTACAGTGTGGCAGTGTCATACAATGGAATAGATGACAGTGAGTCAGTGATGTTGTGTATCTTTCCTCTCACCTTTTATCACACACACACACACACACACAAACGCGCATACACACCTCTGACACGGTCTAACTCCTGTATCCTTTTCAAGGCTTTTGTGGGACCATCCTTATCAGGCTCCATGGTGACCACAGTGCTGACCGGCAGGCCCAGGGCCCTCAGAGAGGCCGCCAGCTCGTGTCCCGTAGCTTCCCACAGGTCATCCTCTGATGTCACGATGGTCACATGGGCCCAGCGAAAGTACCGCAGCATAGAAAACAGAACCCGGGAGGACAGAGGCAAGGGCCGATGAAAGGTGGGATACTGTCCATCCTCCATGTTGGGTTTCAGGCAGCCCCAGGAAAGAAGGGGCTTATTCCAGTTTTTCGCAAACAGGGCAGCCGATGAGCAGTAGCCTGGGTTAGTAGGGCCGAGGAAAGCCGAGCCATAGCCTTCCAGAGAGGTGAAGCGGGCCAGAGCACGGGATGTTTTACAGTCCTCGTTGACCAGAGTGTAGTCATACCAGTAGCCTTTCTTAGTGTAGGGGTCCTTGTTGAGGCGGGCGGTGGCCAGGCGGGCGGCCAGGTCAGGGAGGGCTTTGGAGTACATAGGGTCACATGTCCAGGGCCCAACTATGGCCACAGTGAAAGTGGCGCCCCAGGCCTCACAGGGTAGATAGGTGACCATCAGCAGGGGCAACATAAGCCAGTTGCCCCACCAGCTTCTGGAGCGTAGCACTGCAGATGAAGATGTGGGGGTCGTACTGTTCATTGTATCTGTATCCTCTGTCCTTCTTTGTCTCCTCTCCCTCATTGAGGGATCTTGTGTCCATCGTGGGTGGTGGGAGAGGTTGAGGAGGAAACTAGAGTTTCTGTGAGCTGCCATTGTCCCACAGGGCTTCTATCTAGAGTCAGCCAACACAGATGAGGAGTGGAGGGTTGGAAGTGAGGGAAGAGTGTGTTTGTGTGTGTGGAAGAGTGTGTGTGAGGGAAGTGTGTGTGTGTGTGTGTGTGTGTGTATGTGTTCTGACCCCTAGTGCTCTGTAGGGCACTAGCCCAGAGCTGGGAAGGTCACCACTGGACTCCCAACCATTGCTGCTTCCATGGAATATATGAGAAAGAGGGAGAGAGAGAGCACAAAGTTAGACATTTTGACACATATATTATTTACCGTCTCAATTTTCTAGGACAAAACTCTGTTATTGTTGGTGAGCTACAGTGTCAGAGGCTCGGAAATGCGCTGTTTCTATAATAATTGGACTTTAAATATGTTACCATTAATGTAGGGTTATTACATAACATTAAAATATAGTTGCGAGCAGCAATGAACAGAGTTCACAGGATAACAGAAAGAACACAAGATAACAAAGCAAGTTGAATAACAACGCAAGCACCCTATCATGTAGAAACTATCTTCCTTTATGTGCAATCATGAGTCTAAAGACAAAATCTGGAGTGAATCTGACGTATGGTTCATAAGAAGATTTTAAGTATTTTTAGCATATTTTATCATATTAGCGTATGTGCTAATATGCATCTTCTGGTATAGTGTGGCCATCTTTGAGTGCATCAATGTTATTTTCTCAAACTCTTTAGGGACTATTGTGATGAGTCCAAAACCACATTTGGAGTGAATCTGACTTTTAGTCCATGAGAAGAAGATTTTGTATTATTATTTTAAGCTTTAGCGTTACATAGTCAAAAAAGTTAATTGTTAATAGTTTCCTTATTTTTTAAGATATCAATGCCAAACTTAACATGGTTCATCATGGTCATGTGTTTGTTGCCTGGCCACCCAAACTCCTTGCTCTGGCCAAACACTACGCCACACCCACGGACGTTAGTTTCTTCTCTGCAATGAGTCTAGATCTGAATACTTCCCTGATGATTTCTAGAATGGAATTGGTCCCAGAAACCGATTAGAGATAATCAATTTGCTGATGACTTTGTTTTGTACTACAACCCTCATTTTGACGTCACCACAAACAACTTCACATAAGTATTTAGACCCTTTACTCAGTACTTTGTTGAAGCACCTTTGGCAGAGATGTTCAATCGGGTTCAAGTCCAGAGTCCGGGTTCTGGCTGGGCCACTCAAGGACATTCAGAGACTTGTCCCGAAGTCACTCCTGCATAGTCTTGGCTGTGTGTTTAGGGTCGTTTTCCTGTTGGAAGGTGAACCTTCGCCCCAGTCTGAGGTCCTGAGCGCTCTGGAGCAGGTTTTCATCAAGGATTTCTGTACTTTGCTCCATTCATCTTTCCCTCGATCCTGACTAGTCTCCCAGTCCCTGCCGCTAAAAGAAATCCCACAGAATGATGCTGCCATCACCATGCTTCACCGTAGGGATGGTGCCAGGTTTCCTCCAGACGTGACGCTTGGCATTCAGGCCAAAGAGTTCAATCTTGGTTTCATCAGACCAGAGAATCTTGTTTCTCATGGTCTGAGAGTCTTTAGATGCCTTTTGGCAAACTCCATGCGGGCTGTCATGTGCCTTTTACTGAAGAGTGGCTTCCGTCTGGCCACTCTACCATAAAGGCCTGATTGGTGGAGTGCTGCAGAGATGGTTGTCCTTCAGGAAGGTTCTCCCATCTCTACAGAGGAACTCTGGAGCTCGGTCAGAGTGACCATTGGGTTCTTGGTCACCTCCCTGACCAAGGCCCTTCTTCCCCAATTGCTCAGTTTGGCCGGCGGCCAGCTCTAGGAAGAGTCTTGGTGGTTCCAAACTTATTCCAATTTAAGAATGATGGAGGCCACTGTGTTCTTGGGGACCTACAATGCTGTAGAAATGTGTTGGTACCCTTCCCCAGATCCTGTCTCGGAGCTCTACGGACAATTCCTTCGACCTCATGGCTTGGTTTTGGACTCCAATCAAGTTGTAGAAACATCTCATTGATGATCAATGGAAACATGATGTACCTGAGCTCAGTTTCAAGTCTCATAGCAAAGGTTCTGAATAGTTATGTAAGTAAGGTATTTTTGTTTTTATTTTTATAAATTTGCAAAAATGTCTAAAAACCTGTTTTCGCGTTGGCGTTATGGGGTATTGTGTGTAGATTAATGAGAATAAAAAAATTATTGAATCAATTTTAGAATAAGGCTGTAACGTAACAAAATGTGGAAAAAGTCAAGGGGTCTGAATTCTTTCCGAATGCACTGTATGTAGAGAACAATACAGCAGCGGAATAATTCAGTTTGGGCCATCAGGCAAATGCCTAATGACCCCTAAAAAGTTTCAAGTTTATAGGCCATTGTGAAGTGGATTTACAAAGGATTTAAATGGACACGTAAAATCTGATTTCTTGATTTATCAGTAACTCTTAACCGATCCCTTAGCTTTTCTCAAACTACTTTGAGAAATGTACCATTGGCATACATACCGAATGTTGTATTATTTTGGACATGAGAATACGTTTTTCAATGGTTTCCCAAATTTCCAAGATGGAGGAAAATCTATCCTGATGGACTTTATGGGTCCTTGATGCAAATTTGTTCAGTACAAAGTTTAAAGTTTCTAGATCAAACAGGGAGGCGGATATGAGGGTTTAAGTGAGACTGCTTATAACAGAACCACCTATTGGTGCCATTATTTTTGGCCAAGTTACTCATCGCCTTTCTGTGTGCCAAACTGGAAAAAAAAGTTACCAATCTATGCTTGACCATGTCAAGAAAAAAAACTATGAATTACCAACTGCTTTTGGACAACTGTATGAAGTATGAAGTAATGATACATATGAAGTAAGGATGTACAGTGGGGGAAAAAAAGTATTTAGTCAGCCACCAATTGTGCAAGTTTCCCACTTAAAAAGATGAGAGAGGCCTGTAATTTTCATCACGTCAACTATGACAGACAAAATGAGGGAAAAAAATCCAGAAAATCACATTGTAGGATTTTTAATGAATTTATTTGCAAATTATGGTGGAAAATAAGTATTTGGTCAATAACAAAAGTTTCTCAATACTTTGTTATATACCCTTTGTTGGCAATGACACAGGTCAAACGTTTTCTGTAAGTCTTCACAAGGTTTTCACACACTGTTGCTGGTATTTTGGCCCATTCCTCCATGCAGATCTCCTCTAGAGCAGTGATGTTTTGGGGCTGTCGCTGGGCAACACGGACTTTCAACTCCCTCCAAAGATTTTCTATGGGGTTGAGATCTGGAGACTGGCTAGGCCACTCCAGGACCTTGAAATGCTTCTTACGAAGCCACTCCTTCGTTGCCCGGGCGGTGTGTTTGGGATCATTGTCATGCTGAAAGACCCAGCCACGTTTCATCTTCAATGCCCTTGCTGATGGAAGGAGGTTTTCACTCAAAATCTCACGATACATGGCCCCATTCATTCTTTCCTTTACACGGATCAGTCGTCCTGGTCCCTTTGCAGAAAAACAGCCCCAAAGCATGTTGTTTCCACCCACATGCTTCACAGTAGGTATGGTGTTCTTTGGATGCAACTCAGCATTCTTTGTCCTCCAAACATGACGAGTTGAGTTTTTACCAAAAAGTTCTATTTTGGTTTCATCTGACCATATGACATTCTCCCAATCCTCTTCTGGATCATCCAAATGCACTCTAGCAAACTTCAGACGGGCCTGGACATGTACTGGCTTAAGCAGGGGGACACGTCTTGCACTGCAGGATTTGAGTCCCTGGCGGCGTAGTGTGTTACTGATGGTAGGCTTTGTTACTTTGGTCCCAGCTCTCTGCAGGTCATTCACTAGGTCCCCCCGTGTGGTTCTGGGATTTTTGCTCACCGTTCTTGTGATCATTTTGACCCCACGGGGTGAGATCTTGCGTGGAGCCCCAGATCGAGGGAGATTATCAGTGGTCTTGTATGTCTTCCATTTCCTAATAATTGCTCCCACAGTTGATTTCTTCAAACCAAGCTGCTTACCTATTGCAGATTCAGTCTTCCCAGCCTGGTGCAGGTCTACAATTTTGTTTCTGGTGTCCTTTGACAGCTCTTTGGTCTTGGCCATAGTGGAGTTTGGAGTGTGACTGTTTGAGGTTGTGGACAGGTGTCTTTTATACTGATAACAAGTTAAAACAGGTGCCATTAATACAGGTAACGAGTGGAGGACAGAGGAGCCTCTTAAAGAAGAAGTTACAGGTCTGTGAGAGCCAGAAATCTTGCTTGTTTGTAGGTGACCAAATACTTATTTTCCACCATAATTTGCAAATAAATTCATAAAAAATCATACAATGTGATTTTCTGGAGAAAAAAAATCTCAATTTGTCTGTCATAGTTGACGTGTACCTATGATGAAAATTACAGGCCTCTCTCATCTTTTTAAGTGGGAGAACTTACACAATTGGTGGCTGACTAAATACTTTTTTTCCCCACTGTAAGACAAATCACCGGTGAACAAGACTGACAGTGTTGTAGTACTAAACACTCAAAACTGCCTCAACATGTTTGGACAAAAATATCCTCATTACATAAAAAAAAAAAAAAATGTATTCACTAACTGTAAGTCGCTCTGGATAAGAGCGTCTGCTAAATGACTAAAATGTAATGTAAATGTAAATAAGAATGTAATGTGATGTTGGAGGAGCTCAGTCCCAGTCCATCTGTCTCTTCAGACCAGGGTGCCCTGAAACCATGGCTGAATCAATGCCCAGCTCTTTGCAAAGTCAGCTTTCATGACATGCAAATGGAAATCAGATTAGCTGCTCTTAGGCTGTGACAGGTGGGGGCCATGTGAGTGGTGCCAGATAACATGGCTCTAAATCTGGCTTCCATGTCCCTATCGCTTTCTCTTTCTCTGAAGTCCCTCGCTCCCTGTGACCTCTTGGTCAGCCTCTCCTTCACCCTGGTGGCCTCTATCTCACTCTGTAATATCTCTAGACATAACTGGATTTGGAAGAACATCAAGAAGCTTTGATTTG